GCCATGAGTTTTCAAAAATAATGGCTAATGGCTCTGCAATCTCACCCGCCAACTCCTTTAGCACCCTCGGATGCAGCGCATCCGGCCCCATGGACTTGTGCATGTCCAGTTTTTCTAAATAGTCCCGAACCACTTCTTTCTCCACAGAGGGTTGGTCACCTTCTCCCCATGCTGTACTGCCCAGTGCAGCAATCTGGGAGCTGACCTTGTGCGTGAAGACAGAGGCAAAAAAATCATTGAGTACATTAGCTTTTTCCACATCCTTCTTGTAGTGTGAGGCCCAAAACTGGACACAGTATTCCAGATGAGGCCTCACCAATGTCGAATAAAGGGGAACGATCACGTCCCTCGATCTGCTGGCAATGCCCCTACTTATACAGCCCAAAATGCCGTTAGCCTTCTTGGCAACAAGAGCACACTGTTGACTCATATCCAGCTTCTCGTCCACTGTGACCCCTAGGTCCTTTTCTGCAGAATCGTTCCCCTTTATTCGACATTGGTGAGGCCTCATCTGGAATACTGTGTCCAGTTTTGGGCCTCACACTACAAGAAGGATGTGGAAAAATTGGAAAGAGTCCAGCGGAGGGCAACAAAGTTGGGAATTGGTCCTGCTTTGAGCAGGGGGTTGGACTAGATGACCTCTTGAGGTCCCTTCCAATTCTGATATTCTATGATTCTATGATTCTTCCACCCCATTAGTCTTTTTTATCAGCTTGCTTCTGCCTTGGATTGTGGAGAAATAGCTACCTTCACAGCTGCTGCCAAAGCTTTTGGTGACAGGCTAGGAGCATGAATTCTCTCCCCCTTCCAGCAGGGTGCATGTACACCAACCCTGGTTGTAGAACAAGCATTCGCTTTGGGGCACAGTGTTCGACACCATTAAACAGCACACTGAACCTGAGCAATGAGAACTGGGCTGAGCTTCTCTAGTCGACATCTTAGTATGTTCATTCAGTTAGCCAATCACTGGTATGCTCCGAAACAAGCCATTCATTCCACATGCTGACATCTGAAAGGTGGTTTTCAGATCCGTAGCAAGTTTGCTGCTTCACAGCACAGTACTCAGCTTCTACGTGAGATAACAGAATGGACCCTTTGTTCCTCAGTCTGCTACTGCACACAGCATCAATAACCCAGGCTTCTCGGTGAGCCAGACTCTGCCCTGGTGGCAACAAATGGGGAACCCGACGTAACATTGATAAGGGAAGAGGGACAACGATCCATGATTTTTCCTTACCTCTGCTGACAAGCATCCAGGCCTTCGTTTATAGGTTCTTTGTAATAAGAAAAGCAACGCAACCTGCAGCATAGCAAGGAATAGATACTTGCACGACAGGATGGAGGCTACCCCACCGTGGTCAGCAGGATGTTCCCAGAAACACACTTCCCTGTAGGCTGGCAGCCTGTTTCACTAGAGTCTCTGCTTGTGTCTCTTTTCTCATCTAACTGTTAGACCTATAACTACAAAAACAACAAGGAGTCTGGTGGCACCTTAAAGACTAACTAGACCTATAACTAGTTTGCTTGTGATTTTGTGTGTCAAATGCGCAAGGCTTATTTCAAGTTAAAATTTGGCCTAAATGCGTCTATGACTTGGCTTTAAAAATGGATGCAGCTAGGTTCCATAATCTCAGAAACTGGAACCTGATGACCCTGCTGGCTCTGTACTGTTGCTTATTTGGGGCTAGGGACATTTCAGGTGCCATTAAACCTAGTCAGCCAGAAAATGAGTACCAGCAACCGAGAGACTTCTTAACCAGAGAGGCAATTCCTGTTTTGGATTTTGACCATGATGGTCTGGGGCAGACAGGGTCACTACGAATCAGAACGTTGCCACCTCCTGGAGCTCCAGGCCTTTAACGCTGTTTATTCTGAGTAAGTGAATTCCTGAGTTGAAGCTGGCACAGAGAAGTGTGGAGCTGTCACAGACAGCCAGGGAAGCAAGGGGTCCAGATCCGTCGAGACACAAGGTGACCAGGCAGGCTGTGGAGAGAACAGGGAAGCATTAGTCAGTCAGATGTGTTTCGGTGTAATTCAGAAGTACATTGAGACAACAAACAATTCACCTACAGAAAACAGGGGCTTTTTAAAGGGGAGGAGGGTGCAGTTATAGGGTCTTTCTACAGACACACAGGGATGACACTCAAAGGAAGCTATGGCCCAGCATATGAAATCTGGCCCCACTTTGTCTTCCAGGTCAGGTACTTCTCCCACCTGACATTACCGCCACAGCACCCTGCTGTATGAGCCTTCCTAGGGCTCCTAGTGGCCACGGGCCCCTCTGCAAGCCAGGTGTTAGCAGCTGGTATTTCTAGGATTAAAAAAGGGACATGATCAAGATTCCCTCTTGCCTCTCTCTCAACCCAAAGAAGTGAGAGCTTCTACTGCTCAACAGTCCCATGACATATACATGTGCTGAAAACCAGCACAAAACTAGGCCCCACCTGGGTCACGTCATCTCTTTGCTCTTCTGCTCCCCCCGCAATGGCGGATAGGAATAGAGATTAAGGGGAGATGACATGGCAAGCAGGTGCAACATGTATCCGGAGTTTAGAGACAGCAGGTCACCCAGATTGTGAGCTGGGACTCCAGACTGTTGCGGTGCTTATTTTGCAGGGGCTGCTCTCAGGATCGGCTCCTGCTGTGCCTCCGATTGGCTCTCTCAGAATGCTGATCCGAAGCCCATTCAGGAGCCAACATAGCCTTAAGAAACTCCTGCAAGCCTGGGACAATGGAGGAGTCAGTCCTAATACACACTGACTGCGACAGCAATGGGATTGGCACAGTTTGAGACACATTCTCAGGTACCCATTACATAAGGGGTTGTTAGGAACTGTACATCCTCTCGTAATAGCTGGTATGTTACAATAGCATGTGGAAGGATCTATGCCTGAGGGTTAATTGTTTTGCTTAGGCACTATCATTTAGCAGATTTTCTCCTCAGGACATTCCCATCAAACAGAACATGCTGTTCTCACAGTGATTTGTCTGCAGGGTCCTGTTTCACCAACACATTAATTCCTTTGACCTAATTGTTGCTGGATTTATTGTTCTCAGTCATGGGGATGGGAGTGGGATCATATTCAGAAAGAAACCTCAGAACTTTAGAGCCTTACTGCTTTGCAGAAGGTGCAGCTGAAACCCGTAACACATTAGTCTCAGAGCAGAAAACACAGTCAGCCGTCATATTAATTCAGCACAGCCTGATGATTTTGATCACCACCAATAGACATTAAAACAAGCCTCTCTTCCAATGCCAATAAAATTCTTCGTTACTGCACTTCTGGGGATAACCCTAATTAATGCCATACAGATTCCTTGCCCTCCCCCTGCTTATTTCTTTATTACATTTTTTTTGGCAATGTACATTTGATCACCAAATTGGGGGTTGGGAAGTAATTTTCCCCAGGTCAGACTGACAGGAACCTGAGGGTTTTCACTCTCTTTGCAGCATAGGGTGCAGATCACTAGCTAGGATCATCTGGGTAATATCTCACTCAAATCAGTTCCCTGTCATTAAAGGATCCTTGGGCATTGGCACATCTTGGTCACCCACCAGCTGCCCTGGTTCTCTGCCTATGGCACACAACAGTTCAGTCTCCTGAGGGCTGCAATACTTTGGTCTGATTCTGGTTGTGTGGAATGGTGTGCAAGGCTGTTAGAATGACTTAGACTTGAACTTATTTCCAAAATGAAGGAGGTTTCAGCACAATATATATTTTAAATGGAGACTAGAACATCAGACATTTGCACCTATATCTGGAGACAGCCTAATGTCATGTCTTCTAGGACATTTGTAGTAGTTCCTCCCATCCCAGTGGCACCAGCACTGACTTTCACAGGGTATTTACGAAACAGGCAATCAGAAGCAAATTCACTCAGTGTTGTTCTATATTTGTACATAGGTGCTTGGAATCCTGGGCCATGACTGGGGTCCTAGGCACCATCGTAACACAAATTAATAATACATGATTTTGCACTCAGAGTCTTAGTTTAACTATTATTAAAACAAGTGCAGTTATCAACTGCTGGTTAAGACTGAGGCTAACATACCAATAATGCATTCAGCATACTGCACTCATGCAGGAGGACTAAGGCAGTTTATCGTGGATCCAGCCTGAGCTCAGGTTCCTTCACTGCCAGGGCTGGAGAGTGGCCTCTACAACCAGCAGACTGTGGGATGAGTGTGGGTGTGTGCAGGAAGCTGAACTGTCTGTGGGCAGAGAGAGAGTCTATGCAAACGCCTGTTTACAGTAGACACATTGCATAAAAGGTGTAGTCAGACGGTGGAAAGGGAAATATAAAAAGGATTGCCAGTCTCTAGAGAAAAAAGAACGAGGAGTACTTGTGGCACCTTAGAAACTAACCAATTTATTTGGGCATAAGCTTTTGTGGGCTAGAACCCACTTCATCAGTTCTAGCCCATGAAAACTTATGCCCAAATAAATTGGTTAGTCTCTAAGGTGCCATAAGTACTCCTCATTCTTTTTGCGGATACAGACTAACATGGCTACTACTCTGAAACCAGTCTCTAGAGAGTCACTTCTGCCATTTTGTATACCTCTGCCCTTGCAACATCAAGTTGAGAACAGGAAGATGGCATTTCTACAACACTCTGAGCTCTACAGGTGGGTTAAAAAAGTGCCACATACAACAGGAATTTGTACGTAACTAAATTTCATACTGGTTTATGTACATAGAACTGCACCTAGATTAAGGCTAAAATTCCATCAAAAGGTTCTGGCAACACCATGCCCCACATGACCAAAGATCCAATGCTTTGCTAACATCACCAGAGCTCTGACACATAATCACATGATAAATTTGTTAGTCTCTAAGGTGCCACAAGTACTCCTGTTCTTTTTGCGGATACAGACTAACATGGCTGCTACTCTGAAACCTGTCATAATCACATGAGTTACTACATGGCCACAGAAGAACATGCTGGTGAAGACCGTTTCTGGGGAAGACCATCCAATTTCACTCTTTCCCTACAATTTTAAACAACTGCATTTTAAGAGAAATGTTTAACAAAAATGTCTAATCATCATCATTTGCATTAGATACGCTCATGTGGTCTGCTCAGTAACAGGACTGTAAGTTCAGCTGTTTCCCAGCTGTATTCTCCCCTCCGTATTCTAAACTGGATGGTAGATAAGCAGCAACTAACACAAGCCTCCGAGTATAATAATAATAATAGTGCTTAGGAGGTATTTGCTCTTTGTTCTCAGATCATTGTAAGGCCAAACCTCATCACACCCCTTGGGTGGGAGGGGCTGGGAAGCAAGCAAGATTAATTCCATAATGCCTGTAATTCCCAGTCACAACATTCAGGGCCAGGTTTTTTGCTGCCCCAAGCAAAAAAATTTTTGGCTGTCCCCCACCCCAGCCCTGGGCTCTCCCCTGCTCTCTCCTGCTGCCCCAGCCCTGGGCTCTTCCCCCCCCACCCGCACCCCCTGCTGTCCCAGCTCTGGCCCCCACCCCCACCCGCACCCCCCTGCCGCCCCAGCCCTGGATCACTGGTAACTCGCTCCCAGGGCAGGTCATTCAGCAGGAATTTTGGATGTGCACAGAACACAGACAGGATTGGTTCCAATATGGTTACAGAACTGCAGTAAAGTGGAACAATTTTCAGCTTGTGTGATTGAAGGATATCTGGATGCATATTATAAGACTGTCCTAAATGAGGAAAAGTTGAGGTGCCTTTATTATTCTTTTGTTCCACTCTTTGTTTCTATGGGGAATTTGCCAATGCAATATCACTGTCTTCCTTTTAAACAAATAAAATAAAAAAATGGCAATGGCTGTTGAAAATAGCAATTCCACTCCTAATAACCACGGGGAAGCATTTCTTGCTCAATTTTATCCTACTTTTTCTACAGCAAGTTACAGTGGATCAGTATATTTGATTTGGGAGAAATGAAGTAACAATGCAGAGCGCGGCGCGGCTGACAGGGCGGCCTGGATGGATTGAGCCGCTTACATTGGGGCCTCCAGCAGCCAGAGCCCCTCCTCTGCTCCTCCCCTGCAGCCTCAGCACGCTGCGCTGGCAGCACTCTGGGGGGACGGGGCTGCGTGCTCCGCGGGGGAGCGCAGCAGCGTGTCTGGCTGTGCTCGGAGCCAGACATGCCGATCTGAGCGACACGGTCAGGGGGCTGGGGGGGGTTGAGAAGGGGTATGGCATCTCGGGGGGCAGTCAAGGGACAGGGAGAA